AAATATGGCCAACAGTTAGACCTTGAGCATGTAGACAAGACTCATCAGCTAGACACCTAGGAAAGAATTCTCTGTAGTAACAGAGCCCTCCCCATCTAGTGTCCCATCTTCAGCTGTTGAAGGTATTTGCTAATAGCAGTTGCAGAGGGGCAATATGCCATTGTAGGTAATCTCATCATACTATCCCTTCCATAAATGTATCAAACTAAGTCTTGAAACAAGTTAAATTTTTGGCCTTCATTACTCCCCTTGGAAGATGGCTCCAGAACTTCACTCCTCTGATGCTTTGAAACCTTCATCTAATTTCAAACCTAAAATTTATCAATGGCCAGTTTATATCCATTTGTTCTTGTGTCAACATTGGCCCTTAACTTAAATAACTATTCTCCCTCCCTGGTGTTTAGCCCTCATGTATTTATAGGCCAGCCAGCCTTCCTTTTGTTAGGCGAAACAAGCCAAGGTCCTTAAGTGTTCTCCTGTAAGGTAGGTTCTCCATTCCTCCGATCATCATACTCACCCTTCTCTGCACTTGTTCCACTTTGCATTCATCTTTCTTAAACATGGGAGATCAGAATTGCACACAGCATTCCAGATGAGATCTCACCAGCACCTTGTATAATGGTAATAACACTTCCTTGTCCCTACTGGAAATACCTCACCTGATGCATCCTAGGATTGCATTTTTCACAGCCACAGCACCTTTGTGACTCATAATCATCCTGTGATTGACTTATACAGCCAGGTCTTTCTCCTCCTCCATTGCTTCAAACTGATGCATCCTCAGTTTATAGCAAAAATTCTTCTTATTAGGCCCTAAGTACATGACTTTGCACTATTAAAGTTCATCTCATTTCTATTACTCCAATTTTCAAGGTCATCCAAATCTTCTTGTAGAATATTCTGGTCCTCCTCCATTTGGCAATACCTCCCAAGTTTGTGTTATCTGCAGATTTTATTAAATCATTGTCAAGTTGTCTTGAGTGGCTCAGAGTGTGAGTAACAACCTCAGGGTACACTAAAGAACCGGGGTAAAAACCCCAAATTGACTGAGAGTTTTATGCTTAGATTTCACCAACCAAGTATCAAGTTTGAACCCCTCAGGTACTATAACAGCCTAACCATGCAGTCACAGATGGTCCCCTTACGTATTTCAGTTTATCTTGCCACAAGCTTGGCTTTGTGATAGATGGTCCCTTACACCAAAACATCACAACTATGTTCAAATTACTCCCGGACTTAAAGGACTAGTCGCTTACCCCTGGTCAACTGTACCTTAGCTCCTACCCCAAAGACAACGCTTGTAGCCCATCCTATAATAAACCAACTAAAGATTTATTAACTAAGTAAAGAAATGAGAGTTATTTAGAAGGTTAAAGCAGGTAACATGCAGATCAATGAGTTACAGTCTTATGTTCCAAAAGAGTAATAGCTTGCATATTACAGCAGCTTCTTTATATGTCCTTTAGGACTAATCCACATGGGGTACTCTTGCTTAGAAATCTTCCCCCTTCAGAATTCATGCAGCAGAGAGATAGTTCCTCTTGTCAGAGATTTTTATTGCCGTCTCCCAAAGTTCAAGATGATGGGATGAATCCATGTGCACATCTCCTCTTCGTGTGCTCGCGTGTAGATCAGCCAACAAAGTCTTTATCCTTTGATGTTTCAAAACAGCTCATTTGGTTTCAATGGGCTTTCTCATGTCCAGGACCTAACACCTTCTGTAGGAAGCCAACCTTTACATCAATGGTACCCGAACTTTGAGATACACTCCCCCAAGCAGCATGGAGGGGCCCAGGCATGCCCCCACTGTGTGCGTGCGCACACAATGGAAAGCTTAGGAACAACAGCTTTACATTCATTAGTTTCTTTGTTTGAAGTTACAGAAGTTTACAATGCAAAAATCAATATGACCTTGTAACATGAGGTATAGTTGTTAAGTGAAATTAATATATTCAGCATCCTACAAGCATTTCATAAACTCATTTTTATAAATCTTACACCTATTTTAATAATACTAAACAGCCAGTTGAGCCAGACTGGTTTCCAGCTATGCATGTGGCAGTGTTCATTTGGGGCCTAGGGACCTTGGCATAAGCTGGCACCTGGTCTGCCAGCATCACAGTCCCATTTTGTGCACCAAAGGGTCATTAATGAAAATGTTAAATAAGACTGGGTCCAAGACCAATCCTTGAGGAACTCCACTAGTAACTTCCCTCTAGCCTGACAGTTCACCTTGCAGCATGACTGCTTGTAGTCTAACGTTTAACCAGTTCTTTGCTCACCTTTCAATTCATTAATCCCCATCATCTCTAATTTAATTAATAATTTCCCACATGGAACTGTAACAAATGCTTTACTGTAATCCAGGTACATTAGATCTATTGCATTTCCTTTGTCTAGAAAATTAGTTATCTTCTCAAAAAGAGAGCAGCATGGTCTGGCACAATCTACCATGTTGTATTTTATCCCAATTACCTTTTAGCTCTATGTCCTTAACTGCCCTCCCTTTCAAAATTTGTTTCAAGACTTTACATACAATTTAGGTCAAACTAATAGGTCTAATTTCCTGGCTCACTTTTTCCCTCCTTTCTTAAATATAGGTACTATATTTGCAATTTCAGTAATAAGGTATGACCCCTAAAATTTATGGATTCATTACCAATCCTTCTTATTGGGCTTCCAATTTCATGTGCCAGTTCCTTTAATATTCTTAGATGGAGATTATCTGGACCTCCCAATTTAGTATCATTAAGTGGTTTGAGTTTAGCTTCCACCTCAGATGTGTTCATGTCTACTGCCACACCCTTATTCCTATTCACCACCCTGCTACTGGCCCCAAGCTCTGTTACCCTTATTAAAAAAGGGAGGAAAAGTATTCATTTAGGGCAATACCTAGATTTTTAGTCTCCACCCCATTCTCAGTGCCCTCCTTCCACACTCTGTAGTAAAAGGCTAAACAGTCCTTGGACTGAAGTCCCATTGTCTCCATTGGTTTGTTGTAGCCATCCCCACCTCAGAAGAAAGTTTTCAACCTCTTCTCTAGTATGCATTCAAAGGGATAGAGGGTACTTGCTCTTTCAGCCCTGGCACGCTACTGCCTCCAGGCAGACTGAAAAAGTCTTTTCCTGCAATAGAATTTTGACTATATGCATGTCATGATCTTAGGATAGAGTGGAACAAGGTATGATAAATACTGGATCACAGCAGGAAGGCAACACTATTTTAATTTTAATTCTTAAGGAGCCTCCTTGTTTTGCCTACAGAATATGAGCAGGAGCTGAGTGCAAAGGCTTGAGTACTTATGTGAAAATGCCTTTAAGTAACTAGACAGCATGACTGGAGGTATGTCAACAATTGAGTAAATCACCCACAGCTGATCCATGTCAGCTGACCTCCACTTGCAGGGCTCAGGCTGCACAGTTATAAAATTTCAGTGTAAATGAACATTTATAGCCTCACAGCTGGAGTCAGCTGACACGGGCCAGCTGTGGGTGTTTTACTGCCCTGTAGACATAACCTAAATCAAGTAATGCAAACCCACAGCAGACAGAAGGGCCACTGCAATGCGGGCAAGAGGAACAGCTAATGTGTTTGATAACTGTGACAAGTACCACAACATCCAGCTCCTTGAGTGTAACAAGTACACCTTAGGTAGGACTAGGAATGAACCTAGATTGATTATACTTTAAATTCTTAAACTAATGTGGTAGTAATACTAGCTTCACATCTGTGCTTACCCAGAGTGGAATGCTTTCACTTTGACTGGTTTTATCCATACTGATCAAAGCAGCATACTACCTTTCTATACAGTCTTTAACTGGACAATATTGCAGTTACCCCTCCTTGACTGTTGGCCCCCAAAGGAAAGCTATGCCTGTTACCACAGGGTAATATTTAGCATGGCTGTAATTTGGAAGATTGATAGGTTCCATATTTCTGTGTAGGGGGAGGTCAGTTTCCCCCTGTATCTACAGAAGGGTAGCATCTGAACATGGGGAATGACCTATGACAAATTCACAGAATGTCATAGTACCATAGCTATTAGAGAGGTCATGAACACAAGAAGCTTGAATTGATCCAATATTGGAAGGGTAAACCTACTGAGTTAGGAACTGCAGAATGTTAAGGTCTTACTCAGACCATTAATACCAACACAGCATTTCACACAGCATGCCAGCTAGTAATTAGTTACTGGATCTCATGGGACTGATTCTTTCCCTGTAGCTGTGCATGCTTGTATGGTTTCAGAGTAACAGCCGTGTTAGTCTGTATTCACAAAAAGAAAAGGAGGACTTGTGGCACCTTAGAGACTAACCAATTTATCTGAGCATAAGCTTTAGTGAGCTACAGCTCACTTCATTGGATGCATACTGGTCTGTGGGAGTCACAGCTTTAAGTCCCCTCTCTGTCTTTGAGAGGAATTTAAATCAGGATTTCCCATTCTATGAAATTACTCTACCCACCAGGTATATGATATTCTGGTATGGGTGTGGATGCATGTCTCAATTTCTTCCATCCACACCCATACCAGAATATCATGTACCTGGTGGGTAGAGTAATTTCATAGAATGTGGGAAATGCTTGTATGGTGGCTGGTGTGCATCCTTAAAGATTGAATATTGGAACTTGTAGCCACTCTTGAGGAGGCCATTAGCAATGACAACTGCTAGAGGTACATCTTCTAGAATTGGTCTTTTAACAGTTTGCCATCATGGATCATTACAATTTAAGGAATCCAATAGCTTAAGGGCTAGTGTGTTGCTTCATAAAAGGTAATCATATACATAACTGTTACTGAAGATGCTAGTGTAGGTACTGCTTCTAGCTGTATTTAGAGAGGATGTTCTGCAAGTCCCGTGATCAAGAAATATGCTCCTAAATCTAAGTTAGGAATTTTAACTGTGCCTTTGAGGGTGCCTTAACAGATGGGACAAACTGCAATTTCAGTGAGGCTTATGAATCTCATTTTTTAGAAAGGAAGCTCGTAAGTATTCTAGGCATGACACTAAACCAGTTTATTCAATGCAGGACCGGGAATTGTAAATACTGAGCTAAGAAATGCAAGTTAGGTAAGTGATCAAGATGTAAATCTACAGTTTGTGCTGCATTAACTCACATTTTAGAAGCCACTACAGTTAGTGCATCAACCTATAGGGCTGTACCTACATTGGTATAGTTTCAGTATGCTTACAGGGCAATGCTTATACATATTAGCACTGTAATGCAAAAATTTGCATGCCAGACTTAAAAAAAAGGTAAGGGCAGCTTTATTTCCACTACCTGTCTAATTAAACTAAATTAGTTTAAAGAGTTCACTGCACCAGATCCTATGGTACTGAAAAAAATGAAGTTATTTATTTACATTGATACAGAGTGAAACAGATACAATTCAGCTGGGGATTTGAGTACCAAGGGAGTGAACACTAATATGAACAGTACTGAGGACATAAAAGAAACTAAAAGCCACAGAATTCATTCAGAAGGTGCAACATGGTTGTTTACTCACAAGACAATTAAGTCTTGATCCATGCAGGGGAAATCTACCACTTGGTAGAGAAAGATTTCATGCTTCCATGTATACCTTTTCTTCATTTTGGATATCTGTGTAGTGGGGGAGGAACTTCTGTCCAATCCCCAGACATTAGACCTCTTTCCATTCACTGCATTAAAAAGACTAAAGACTCCGATCATATTTACAATTGTCACATCATTATCTTCCAAGCACAAGATCTGCAAGTGTGCCAAAGGACAAAAGGTTAGATTCATGTTTGTCCATTAAAGTGAACCTCTCATCTACTTTAATTTAAGACCATGAAGCCATCTTTAGAATTGTACAGGAGAATGTTTGGTGTGAAAAGGTGCAACTGATATTAGAAGTGAGACTGCTTGTTAGTGCTTTGAGTTTGTACACATGCCATCTTCCTCATCTTCACCCATCAGCTGCAACACATAAGATCCAGTGTAGAGAAGAAACTGCCCAGTTATTTGTGCCACATGGGACATAAATCGAAGCATTCTCCTAGAAGAGAAAAAAGTTAACAATGTCATTTCTAAAAGAAAGTCTTGGAATGCTGCATCATGTTTCAGGACACATAGGGTTCTTTCAGGATGAGTCACATTTAGAAGAATCCTCACATCCCATCCATTTCTAGCCATTGTTTGGCAACATACAGCAACATTACACCAGGGCCTGATTCTGCAGCCACTACATAGAACAGGTGGGCAAACTATGGCCTGTGGGCCACATCCAGCCCATGGGACCCTCCTGCCCAGGCCCTGAGCTCCTGGTCTGGGAGGCTAGCCCCTGGCCACTTCCCTGCTGTTCCCCCTCCCCTGTAGCCTCAGCTCACTGTGCAGCTGGTGCAATGCTCTGGGCAGTGAGCTCCTGGGGCAGCACAGCTGCAGCCTGACCCAGTGCTCTGTGGTGCATGACTGGCTCCAGTTGGGCACTGCGGCTGTGTGCTCCAGGCAGCACAGTAAGGGGGCAGGGAGAGGCTGCATAGAGGGCAAGGGAATTTGGGGTGGTGGTCAGAGGGTGGGGAACAGGGGGGTTGAATAGGGGCAGGGGTTCTGGGGAGGCAGTCAGGAAGGAGAGGAGGGTTGGATGAGGCAGGGGTCCTGCCCCTCCCCCCAATCAGGGAACAGGTGGATTGGATGGGGCAGGAGTCCCAGGGGGCTGTCAGAGGGAGAGAAGGGGGATTGGATAGGGGCAGGGACCAAGCCATGCCTGGCTGTTTGGGGAGGCACAGTCTCCCCAAATGGGCCCTCCATACAATTTCTAAAACCCAATGCAGACTTCACGCCAAAAAGTTTGCCCACCCCGACACAGAAGCAATTCCCACTTAGTGGGAAGGAAGCTGTTTGCATGTAGCAGAGTTAGGGCCTGCAAGAGAAACTTAAGTTATGCAGACAAAGCAGTTACTTGAGTTTTCAGCAGAACATTCCAAATACCCTTACTGGCATTGCCATGTTTCCATTAATGACTTCAGGTAATCAGGAAGTCAATTTGAGCCCTGCAGCATTAATCCATCTTACCTATTAGTATAGTACAAGGTGGGAAGTAAGGAGGAATGCTAGCTACAGAACCACCACTGACATGTCTATTAAAGTATTGACCAGGTCTTATACTTGAGCACTCACATTGGATTGTTTGGCTGCAGTGAACTTACGTATGTAATACTAATGGAGCTGAGACTCTTAAAGCTTTGTCCTCCCAATTCATGAGTATTGCTTGTTACTGCTTACATTCCAGAGTGAATTAGTGGCTTGAAACATTCAGCTTTAGGCAGGCTCTAAGATCCAATACAAGACCCATAAAACTAAGGCAATGTGAGCACTAAGGTTTTAATCAAGACCCACAGGTTTTAGTGTAAGTTCCAGGAGTAGAGAAGATAAAGCTGAACACGTCATGACACTCTTGGTACATCAGCCTCCAGCCACTCAGAGTGACATTTTCTAAGAATGAGAAAACCAGGCCATCTAGACCAGGAACTACACTGAGTTCAGCTTTCTGTACCAGCTCTGTATATTTACAATCCTGCTTTTTCTCTCTAAAGCCAAATTAATCTTCTAGACTGAAGTACCTGGAAGTTACCCAAACTCACAGCTACAACTAAATATACTAGGAAGTAGAGAACAAGGGGAAGGGAACAAAGTACAGGAATAATCAGAGGGCTAGTCTGAAACTCAACCACCTCTCTATGAAGGAGATCCTCCCCTCTCCACCAACAATTCCTTAGATAGATGTTGACCTAGTTCTTCCCTTCCTTGAAGTAAAGCCTCACTTCTTTCGGCAGCCTAGCTTTCCCATCCCTGAGTAAGGATGAATGCATGTGTGCTCTACTAGTACTCCCCACTTCTAGGATTCCTGTTTAATGCAGAAGGCAGATCCTTTTCTCCTACACTCCTCCCCCATTGCCTATGGGAAGTTCACTGTTCTCTCAATGAGAAGAGAATTTAGATTTTTTTTGCAGTCAGTAATTCACTCTACAGAGGTTGAATAAAGATCTCTCAGGGACTTGGCAGTGCTTTAAATACAACTCCTTTTTCATGACATGAAAGACACCTATTTGCTATAGCTTCAGTATGTTCTTTTCAATTAGTCTGCTGGGCTGGCCAAGTGACTTTATAAAACCAGGTGCAGCCTTCTTAAGCCTCTATGCAGCTGTGTCTTCCACATAGCAGCTGTTGTGAGACAACTGGCTGTGGGTGCAAGTGGCATTTTTAGCTGTGGAGGAGATTGTTATTTGTTGGTCTGGACATTTGATCCTCTCTTTGAAAAGACAATAAAAAAATCAGAAAATTCATCATGTTTGATGGCATGTGAGGGGCTCCCTGCCTGCCAAGTGAACATTTGGGAGGATTCAGTGTATGAAACTTCAGAATCAATAGAATGTTTTTCAAGGGACTATCTGAGACCCCAATGCAGAGTTTGTCTTCAGCTTGCAGCCACTTGGGATAGGCTCTTATCTTCCCTCCAGCTAGCCCTTTGCAGGAGGACTTACTTGCTTGTACTGGCCCTCAAATGGTCTTCTTATAATATAGCTATGCTTGTAGCAGGACTCCAGATACCTCAGCTATTTGCCTGCTGCTTTTTTCACTTCCTGTATCAGCTTCTCTCAGCAGCTGCAGCATGCTGGCAAGAGTTTGGAGGAACTGACACTTAAAATTCCCTCTTTAACAATGCAAGTTCCATTGTTAGAGTTCAAACCCATAACTGATAATTGAATTAAAGATTGGCACAAGACATTAGTCCCCACTTGTCACAAGGGGACAGCGTTTAGTTCTGTTAAATGAAGTTCTGCACTCAGTTATCCATCCAGACCCATTGAAGTCAGAGCTGGGGAAGGGTCTAATACATGGCATAACTAGACCCTCATTTAAATCCAAGACTGAGAATCCAGACATTAAGGGATAGACTATCAGTCTATGCCAATTTTAGGCCAGTGTCTTGTTTAGACTCAATTTACATAGGATTTGAGGGGCCAGAACTTTGTCAGACAGGTGCAGCAAGGTGTGCTGTTTGCAATTTAGTATTTTAGAACTTTCATCTGAGTCAGTAAGCCATTGTCTTTTGAAGTCCTCACTTCAGTGATCTAGAATATCTTCATGTTCATGTAGTTTCAACCTGTAATGACTGAGCCTTCTACACTTGGACTGGCAGAGTAGATAGAATATTTGCTTCCATCTTCAACCAGGGAGTGTCAATTTATGACATTAAACAATATCTGCATTTCAGTATTTGAAGGGATACACTTAGCCTAAACTGCTCTGTAGCAGGGAAAGGCAGTTCACTTGAGAACCAAGGTATCTCAATCTTATTCCAATATGCAAAATCCACCTAAAGATAGTAAAAAGTTCACTTTATACCCCCCATTTCTCTATTTCCTCCATCCCCATCAGAAGGGGAAACTGATCTGGTTATGCAGAATGTGGGAAAAGCCTAAAGGTTACTGTTATTCAGTCCTTCATTTCACTACACTGAAGTAGTTTTGGTTTCAACAAAAGGAACTTGGCATCCTTCCCAACCAGTCAGCCTTCAACCACCAGTTACTGTACATGGACTGGTTTTGCTTATAACACTTCCATTTGTAATATCTTACTCTTGTGGTAAGGTTCTACTTTAAATTTCTGCCATGTAACCTTAGCTACATCAAAAAAATCATTGTAAAAAAAGCTAAGAATGGCTACTGCAGATTGCTGTGTCATGGGCAGGAAACAGTATAAAGATGCCTTTGCCTCTACCAGTTAATGCAGACATGGCTAACCAGTTAGCATCTTCATTGTGGGATCATTTAAAGTTCATGCTCCTTTGAGACCGGTTTTGGTTTATATTCCCCCAACTGACTAATAGGAATGCATACTTACCGCAGCACAGTCTTTGCTCCCATACATTTGATGTCATATGACACAGAGTAGATTTCATAGAAAGTAGCTCTAATGTTTAGACAGCCAATAAAATCCTTTGGATTCAGCTTGTACAAGTCCAGAGTAATGTTGGCTACCCCCATTTTCTTAGTCTGCTGTACAGCGGTGATATTTTCTCCCTGATTTTAAAGAGACAATTAGTTTTATACTATATCCAGTAGAGGCGAGAGCATAGTGAATATGCCTTAATGACACTAAATAATGCAGCTATTCTTTAGAGGTATTAAATGTTATTCCAATCTACATTATTGGTGAGGGACATGAATCCCAGTAGTGGTTACAAGGTATTTGTCACAAACTTGCAGCTTTCATCATGACTTCATTTAAGGCCTGATCAGGCCTGTGAGAGGACTCTCTAAAGTAACTAATCCTTCATATATTAATTGATACTCAACATTTCACATATGCAAAAATGGATTAACAAATGCAAAAAACAATGGATACTCCCTTCAAGTATCCATTGTTTTTTGGATTTGTTAATCCATTTTTGCATGTGTGAAATGTTACTTTTCTTTAGTCAGACTCGTCTCAAGATGACCTGAGAATCCTTGAACTATCAGGGCCAAATTCCACCAGGATTACAACACTAGTGACATGTTAAAGTTATTTAGAAAGCCAGCTGTATTGGCACAATGACACCAGTTTTGACATGAACAACCAGTAACTGAGAAGAGACTGCTTTACGTGGACTGCTGCAGCAAACAGACAAATATTTTAAAGTAATCAGGAGTCCATATGCCCAGTGTTTACCTTAAAAGGGAGTTTGCCCAGCTGCATGGTGACAGGCTTTGGAATAGCACCTGGGAATTGGGTGGTTGGTGATTTGTGGACCTAGTCTTTATGACTAGGATTTGAAGTAACCCCCAAGTAGTTAATAAATCACTGGAAGGAACCACTATGATGATAGTTAGAATAGACCCAGAACAGCACTAAGTTGTATTTAAGCAAACTTAGAGGGAGAACAAGGATAGTTGTTAGAAAGCAAGCACCTTCAACTGCTAAATCCTGACCTCCTCCCAGGTTGCCTACCAAGTGACAGTGAAAAGCTGCTCATGCTTTCTCCCTGCCCCACTTTAAGATATTGTCACTGAGAAGTGTTTACAGCAGTCCAATGCTCTAGGGGGACATCTAGTGGATATATCCTGTATCTCACTCAATGAGAATTTTACTCTCATTAGTGCTTTTGGAATGCTTTGTACATCACTTATCACTATTTTTAACAAACAAAGATTGCTTGGAGCAGCTTTGCAATTTTATCTAGTAAGTAGTGTACAGGAAAGGCTAAGATACAAATTACTAGGGTACTTGGCCTCAATAATGTTTACACTAGACTGATCTGCATTTGTTTTTGCTTTGACAGTCCACAGTAAATGCTTAGGGTTTGGCTCCCTTTCACAAGGATGAATTTTAAACACTTGAAGCTATGTTTTACAAATACTCTTGCAGCATGCTCATTACCTAGTTCCCATGCCCTTTGTAGCTTTAAGTTGAGGATGCTGGCAGATGGTATATGACTAAGTCATGTTCCTCATTTGAGTTATTTTGCAACTATACATAGATCACTGGAGTCTGAATCAGAAATATAGGGCTAGAAGTGACCTCGAACTCAAGTCGAACTTGCTGTGCTGGCGGCAGGTCCAAGTAAACCAGACCACTCTTGACAGGGGTTTGTCCAACCTCTCCATAAAAACTTCCAGTGATGAGGGTTCCACAACTTTCCTTGGAAACCTATTCCAGAGCTTAATTACCCTTATAGCTGTTAGAAAGCCCTTTCTAACAAACTTTGATTTCCCTTGCTGCTGATTACTGAAGGTAGGACAAGAAGTAGTGAGCCTAGACATAGAAAATATTGATCCCCAGCCTCTTTATAAACAGCCCTTAATGTACTTGAAGACTTACCAGGTTTCTCCTTGGTCTCCCCCCCTACCCCAAACTAAATATACCCAGTTTTTAGCCTCTTAAAAAAAAAAAAGACCTTTTTATTGCTCTCCTCTGGACTCTCCAATTCATAAACTTTTCCTAGAAATGTGGGGGCTTCTCTATTAATTTATGCACATTACGCTTGTTCAATTGCTGCAAGGGTAGTTGGACTATGGACCCAGGCCAAAAGGGGTATTGTGGAAGGAACTAATCAAGAACCACCACAATAACTGCAGACAGGGTACTTCTGAGGAGAACACTTCTAGGAAGATTAAGAAAACAATGTCTGGGCTATTAGTTAAGGGAGCACCTGCCAGAGATGAAGCCTAAGATCAAAGGCACACTAAACAGTAAGTCCCACTTTTGAGAGAAAGGAGAATTGGTCAGAGGAAATTTGAAAACATTAGGTCTACCTGGCTAACATCAAGAGGATGGTGAGCTCTAGGTAGATAAGCCTGTGTAGGCAATTTCAAAACCTGTTTTATGCTAGGTTATGTTCCTTCTGTTAAGAAGGATGACATTGTTTTGAAAAGGCTGTCTGGTCACTGTGGACTACTGCCCAGTCCCTGCTGTTCTGCTCCTTGGAAGCTGTGTCTGTCATTTGTACACAGGAGCCTGCAACCTAGGTCCTAGTCTAAGAGAGGTGACAATTTAAGGCTTGTCATCCATGGGCAGTCAGAGACGACAGTGGTACTGCTAGCCTTTGTCACTTGACAAGCACAAGCAATTTGTTTTTCTGGGGAGACAGTTGTCATTTAACAGAAGGGCCATTAGAGAAATGACCTAATCTCTTATTTGCATTATGGAGATCAGAACTATTCCCACATGTGACTGAAGGTCCCCAGTTTGTACCCAAGGGAAGGAGTGTCCCAAAAAACCCCCAAACCACTAGATAAACCAGGCACATTCATCTTAAAATGCTCTTATGCCAAGAAAAAAGTCTAGACATCTGTTTTTCTATTTCATAATTATGTTTTGATGGCACACTTTAGCCCTGCACATGGAGTAATACAGAAATATTTTTTCTAATTTAGTTAGCTCTACTGAGTATCTAATGTGCTCAGAATATGGAGTTTTACACTTCTGTTTCAGATTATGCTGTAATCATGCCTTGGCTTTTCCTTTAAAGTAAACTGCCTAGAGGAAAAGCCATGCTTTTGATAAAAAACCAAAGTCTGTTTTGCTTGATGTAAAAAAATATTGGTGTTTAGTTTCTCTCTAGTCAAGGAGGACTAGTCATATTTCCACAATATAGGAGACACTTGAGCAAAAAAGGGATTTTTGTTTTGGTTCTTGTAGATGCCTGTTACATGTTTAATTCTAATTTATGTTAGGTTTTTGTAATGGGTTTTCTGCCTGTTCAGCTGAGGGTCAGAAGAACTCCCTACTTCTAGTCCTCTGGAAAGACTATGCATTCTTAGCATAGTAAGCAGGTTTTGGTTTTGATACCCCAGCCTTCTTTGAAGGCAATTTTCCTCCCATTCCTCCACCACTCCCACCCCTTGCCCCACTGCCAGCTGCCACAATTCTCCTTAAGCCAAAGGTGATCTGTAAAAGTTACAAAAAAGTTAACACTTTACTTGTGTCCATTTCTGTCCTTTTTCTAGAAGGAGGAAGTGTGTATTATCTCCCAGAGATTGAAAGAACTCTTCAGTATCCACAACTGTGCCATCTTCCTCCAAAACTAGAGTAATCAGTCCAGCAGTAATCAGCAAGGCATCTAGGGCCTACAATAAAAAAAATAGTAGATGGATCTAATTCAGAATGCATCTGCTTTAAGTTAATTCCTTCTGTCTAGTTAACATTTAAGGACAACTACTCATTCGTGGAGTAGTTCTAACACCAAAAGAAGGTACTGACTTGCTTCTGTTTTACCTATAAAGATCAGTTCCAACTTCCACACCAAGGAAGAGTTGTGGCATCTGCACTGTACATATGGTCCTGTACTCTGCAAAGTAGTTACTCTTTTCTTCCCTCACTCCCTAATCAAGTTGCTGTGAAAGTGCACAGAACTTCCAGAGTATCTGGATCTCATGGTAATGTAAGCAGGCTTTGATACTGTATTTAAATACAAAGGGTTAATTCTAAAAAGGAGGAATCCAACTAGACGTCATTAAGTATAGCTCCACAAGCAGTCTAGTTGAATCTTTCAGAGCAAGACTCCCATCATTTTAGTTTAGAGACAGTATTTCCAGTATCTCCTTCTGTTGAAGGACTACACTATGTTTCAATGAAGTGTCATCCTGCATTTGACACTAAATATCCCATATACATCTCTAAAAAGCCATGGTATTTATCTTAGACTCCAATTCACCAGGTTTTTGAGGCTCTGAATTCTGAAATAAGTTCAGTCATGAAGTAAGTTTTGCTCTCATACAGAGTTGAGACCAGAAGGCCTAGGTATTATGTTCTTACTGACAAGTAGTTTTAAGTCTCAACCAAGCGTTTGATATACCTTGCTAATAAACTCCTGCAGGCTGCTTGCAACAACTCCTTTCCGACTGCTGCGGTCATGATTTGATACACGGAAAGGTCGGGCTGCAGGTAAGAGAGGAGGGAATAGGGTCTGTCGTGTCACCGACCCCACAGATGTTCCCATTGATACCAGAGATCTAAAAAACAGTTTCATTTTAATTAAAACAAAACACTGAGATTAGTCATTGTGATGTATACATTCACTATATAATGCTCATATGTAGTTCTCACAGGCCAGTTGAGACCAGATTAAGTTATTTAAGAAGTTCAAAGACCAAAGTTGTTTCAATAAAACTAGAGTATTTGCTTTCTTCCTGGCAAGATAATGGTTTTCAGTTTTAGAACTGTACAGATATTTGGGACCAACTTGGCCAGGTCACCACTGGTCACAGTCTTGCTTACAACAACTTTGACCTTCTTTAATAGGATATTGCAGCATTTCTCACACTGGGATCTGTGGACCCCTGGGGTCCTCAAGTGTACCCCGGGGTCTACAGGCCCCACTGATTAACTCCTCCCCCTCCCTGCACACTAAAAGTCCAGCGGGGCAAAGGCAGGCTTCCTACCTGCCCTGGCTCCACGCTGCTCCGGGAAGCGGATGGCACATCCCTTAGGCCCCGGGGGTCTCCTCACTTAGAGCAGCTACCTTTCCAACTTAGTTTACTTCAGCACCACTGTTTATCTTACAGATAATTAAACTGATCTTTCATTTGGCTGGTTCATTTGAATGCCTCCCAATAGCTGTATGAAAGGAAGTTCATTAGAAAAGCCAGTTTTATTCTAGTAAATTGTAGCGCATACACGGCTGTGGGTCCCATCAACAGTGCCCCTGCATCCACCTGCTATGAGGCAGGGATTCACCTGGATAACTTCCATTATTACGCCACCAAAGCACTGGGAGTTCACATGCCTGTTGCAAGTGGCAAGCTAGCTAGCAGTAGCTATTTTAAGATGAGCCATTACTTCTTTGCAGCATTGGCTTTGTCAAGATTTGGAAGTCTGCCATGATGCAGCAAGTTAGATGCTTCAAGTAGCTTAGACATTGGAATGACTATTTTGAATACTAGTGTGCGATTTGATGCAATTATTTGGCTGAAATTAGATTTGCTTGAAATTAGATTTGGTATAGTGAGTATGATAAGATCTTCCCTAAGCCCATTTAATTCAGCTGAGGCTGCATGGACTAAGTTTGTTGGTCTGAAAGTCAGAGATTGCTAGTTTTGACTATCAAGTTATGTTTTGGTTCTAGTTCCTGATAAGTGCCTGTCACAGGTTTAATTCTGGCCAGACATTTCCTTCACTGTCTACTGGCTTTGTTCTTCATAATCAGCAACATATTCTTAGTTTGAGATTCACTTAATTCAATAAGTATTCTTTTGATTAATTTTTATTCCATGTGTAGTTTAAGCCATTGCTTTCTGGATTGTTTTTCCTGCTGAAGAGCAAATTCAGCACATGAGGTACTAGGCACTACTAATGATCAGATACAGTGCAAAATGAAATCTTGTAAGTTTCCCTGCCATACCAGTGTGCACTTCAACCCTGATTTGAAGTTTTCCCTGGGGTGAACGGGAATTTTTCTGCCCAGTTACCAAGAATTACAGTACAGTTAAGTTTCTGTAATGTAGGTATTTGCTCTTGATCTTATGCCTAGTGACAAATGTGTTGCACAGCCCACAAGTGATCAGTTTTTACCTTTTGAATGCTAGCAATATGGACTAGATTTGGACCAGTAGCATACAACGAAGAAGTTTCATATCCCATCATCAAGCTTAAGGCCCCAATAGTAGGGAGCTGTCTGAAGCTTTTTCAGACAACAGGAAGCATACATCACTTTTATATAAAAGTTACTTTGCCAGTACAGTACTTGATCTGAAAGACTCAACAAGCCCAGGTGGAACAGTGGGGGTTGGAGGCTATTAAGTGTGTCAGTTTACTTTCTATCACTAAGCTGAATTAGATCTTGTGAAGTCTTATTTTGCCAAAAAGGGAATTTGTTCAGGCAGAAGACAAAGCATAAGAAAAAAGCACAGGGCCAAGGCAAACATGATGTATCAATAAGTTACTGACAGGACAAGGAAGCATCATGTGGGCTTTTAGGTTTAGGATTCAGAGCCAAGTAAGAGCTTGGGTTCAGGTTAAACAGCTCAAGAGCTGAGCTTACATGATTTCTGCAATCTTGTGCTGCTATTTGTCCAATTTTGGCACCCAAATCCTCCAGTAGTATCAAGATGTAGTGCCCAGTTTTGAATCCAACATGGAAACAAAGCCATAGGATCACATTAAGATGTAAGATTGTGATTAGAATGACTTTTGTGATGTGAATGGGTTCAGAATTGAAGTTCCCTTGTACTCTCTAGTACTACCATCAGTCACTGTTTCCATCTATACCTGCATCCATTTATAGCAAGACTGTCATCGTAATATTTAACCTGAAACTGTTTCTGCCTGTTCAAGTAGCTGAGAACTCTGGGTTCTCAGTTGGTAGAGCAAACAGGATTCTTAGTGATAGGAGCATCAGTGATTGCTTGCCTTTTTACCTATTTGGACACCAGATCCAACCCTTACATGTCTATAGCGACTGCAGCCAAGGACTTTTAGATATACTAATCCAGATCCTTGGAACCCAGTCTGGCTGCTTTATACTGTAGCAATTAGAAAGCAGCCTTTGAAGCAGACAAGTGGATTCCTGATGCAAGGGAATCCTCAGGTGGCTTGGCGTCACCGCAAGACTTGGTACCCCACAATCTACTGTGGAAAGAAAAAGTGAAAGCCAAGACAGAAAAATGGTGCAACAATAGCAAGAAATGCTAATTACATTTAATAGCTTCATTAGTAAGTTAAACAGGCCCACATCTGTTTTATTATTAAGCTACAAAGGGTATGTTTTAGGGAGGCAGAGTACAGGTATTTTACCCTGTCTAGGCAGTAATACCAGTTCCAGGGCATAGAAGAGTTTTCTACAAAGGTACACAACCATCATCCTCAAACTTTAGTAAAGCGCCTGACTTGGTGTTAGAGCCACATTAGAAGTTCTTCATTTTTGAAGTAGGAACTTGCACATAGTATTCCAAACACTTGTTTTTAGAATGGAGACATGTAGGATCCATGAATTCAGCTACTTTTCAGTGGGCGGTACTTTACAATGAACTCTGTGCACACTGTTGGCTGCAAAGCTTGAGACAGCCTGCAGACAACGTACAGGGTGTCATGCATGGTTGTCTAAGTGATATGGTGCAACAGCCTTCAGTCATACTCAGGAGTCACAAGTTACACAACACCAATCTATAGCCTGTTTGTGACCTTTAGATTAGAGTAAATTGACTACCCTTAGCGTCAGGGGAGTGAATCAGCTAAAAGTGATGCAGTTAGTGTTTCAGGGAGGATATGTGCTATTAGCATTTCCTCAGACTACGTGTTTTAGAATTTTATCATTCACAGAACTAGAAGTGAAAGAATGACTGGAATAGCTAATTTAGATTCATTAGAATGTGCAAGATGAAGACAGAAACTATACAAATTTAAGACTGCTCCATAGTGAGAACGGTCTTTTTAGACACACTGAATAGCTGCAACATTGACTTAAGACTTAAGTCATACCTTAAATTTAATGATTGACTCATGAGCCTTACACTTTCTTGGCATGATATCTAGTTTAGTACAGTGGTTTTAATTTTTTTTCCCTGGGGACCCAGTTGAAGAACACTGTTGATGCCCACGACCCAACGGAGCTGGGGATGAGGGGTTTGGGGATGTGGGAGGGGCTCGGGGATGGAGCAGAGGGTTGGAGTGCAAGGGTGAGGGCCACAGGGTGGGGCCAGGAATGAGGGGTTCAGGGCTCTGTGCTGGGGCCAGAGATGAGGAGTTTGGGTTGCAGGAAGAGGTTCTGGGTTTGGCGGGCTCAGAGTTGGGGTAGGGGTGCAGGCAGAGATTTGCCTCCAGCAGCTCCTGGTCAGCAGCACAGCCGGGGTGCACCGAGGACTGCTCTGCACCCCAGAAGTGGCCGGCAGCAGGTCTGGCTCTAGGTGGAGGCATCTGACTCTTGCCCACCGGCGCCGACCTCCCCCCATTCCCATTGGCCGGGAACCAGCCAATTGAAGTGCTGGGCTGGTGTTTGGGGTGCGGGAAGCACGTGGGGCTCTGTGGTCCCCCTGCCTGTAAGCCAGACCTGCTGCTGGCCACTTGCAGGGCGCAGCACGGTGTTGGAAAAGGTAGGCACTAGCCTGCCTTAGCTGGCCAGCACTGCTGATGCGATGTTTAATGTCTCCCTTGGCGGTGCTGACCAGACTAAGGCAACCCAGTGCTGCGTGGCGACCCACGGATTGAAAAACACTGGTTTAGTATATACTATGGTGCAGCAGATGTACCATTTGCTAGTTTTACTGCCGCAACATTGTACAAGCTATTTAGTGTCCTGTATTTAATTAAATCAAAGTAACTTGTTTACTTGATACTATCTTTTAGAAGATCTCAGTGTTCAAGATGCAAGTCTTAGGAAATGAAGACTTGAATCAAACTCCAGAACGCCAAAGCTCATAATTAAGCCAGTGGGAGTTTCACTTGCCAATGCTTTAGAACACAAGACCAACCACAATTCTGTCTAGTCTTTAAGATTATCTTCTTGTTTTCTTTCAGTCTCAGTTTTCAAACAGTTGAGATGTAATAGTAGTGTACACAGTTGCTCCTGAAGCAACGGAGCAAACGGTACTGCTGCTGTCGTACCCGTACTATGGCTGAGAGCCACGGTCTAAAAATAGTTTGACCTCTGTTGAGAGGCTTTCATCCACTTCTTTGTTCTTTAACAAAGAAGTGGATGAAAGGAGACACTAGGACGAGTTTCCTTTTGGGTATGACGGACGTGCAACTACGTTGTGATTCCCGGTCATACGGAAACGGCTAATCCACGACCATCTCTGCTGAAACGAGAGTTTCAGAGGAAGCAAGATGCCCAGGTCGGATGCACGGGGTTTTCAGCAGGTAAAGTCATCCCGACAAGGCACGGCAGCTTTTGCTTTAAGCCAGACGGTGCGGGAGCTAGGGGTCTCCCCAGGAGGCCCGGCAACACCTGCGAGTTACATTTGCAACAGGAGCTATTAGCGAAAGGTTTCGAGTGAGCCAGAGAGCCCCGGCTGCGGGATCAGGTCAGGGCGAAGCGGGTTGCTCGGCGGCTCCACGGGCGGAGCCCCGGCAGCACCATATGGGCGGGAAGCCGCCTCCCCCGGGGTTTGCATCCAGCCTCAGCTTCCCCGCTGCGCCTCGGGCCGGTGCCCCCGGGGACACGCGCACACGCGCACACGCGCGCGCTCACTCACCGCACCAGGGCGCCGGCGTAGTCCCGAGCGCTCTCCATGCCGAGCCGGGCGCCGCGCCAGCAACCAGCAACCCGGGAACCGCCCGCCGCCGCCGCTACTTATCTTTGGCCGGGGCGCGGCCCCGCCCCCGCCCCCGCCCGAGCGAACCCACTCCCGGGAAGCCACGCCCACTCCCCCCATGCTCAGCCGCGCCCACTCCCAGTGCCCGCCTGGCGCGGGGCGGAGGGGCAGGGGTGCTGGGTTTGCATGAGCCCGGGCGTGAGGGATGGGGTCAGAGGCGGGAGGGGTAATGGGGGGGGCTGAGGAGAAGGTTTAAGGTAGAGGGAAGGGTCAGAGAGTGCGTATTGGGGTGGGGGAGGGATCAGGGGAAGAAGTGGGTGGGGTGGGGTGAAGTGGAGGGGCAGGGACCAAATAAAACCATTTATTGGCAGGCTGCAGCCCCCTGGCTGGTGCGAGAGTTCAAACGACACGGGCTGTTTTTCAGAGCAGGCGGCTGGATGCACCAGGCATCCCTCTTATCTTATCTTCATAAGAATTAATGAATAAATGGGGCTTGGTCCCCTCTGCCTATGTATCACTGATGACCATTTTTCATTCCCTGGTAGCTAGTGTGATGGTCTCTTTACTGTCACTTTATTTTCCCTGCTCTGGTTTTGCACAATTTTTCCTCACTACTTTTTAAATAGAAAGCTTTCTATTGATTTTGTTCGTGTTTGTCTTTGTATATTTGTGCTTACATACATTCTGATGGGAATATAGAGGTTTTCTGGTGGGTATAGGTTGAGATGGCCATAGTTTGAGAAATAGAGCCGTGGTATGACTACAATGGCATGACTCCCCTGCAGCTGGTGTGGTCATTTACATCTGTGCAAAGTGGGTATAAAACGAATAGCACATTAAAATGGTAGTGTTCGCCCAGGTGTAAATTGAGTATTAAAGCTTCCAAGACATTGTAGAATCAGGACCCAAGTCAGTTATTGCAGCTGTTGCCCTCTACAGAGCTAAAAGCAAATCTGCCTAAAGAGCTCTCTCTTTTATTTTTGCTAAGAATATACAAAAGTGGTTATATAGGGGTAAGGTATCATGAACTAGGGAGAGAGAATATTGAGCATGTGAAAAAGGAGCAGGAGAATGATGGTAAAAAGTGGTAGATTGACAACACTGGAAAATAAAGTCTTCTGTTTTTCCAGCAGATCAGACATATCAGAGATACCAGTGAACTTATTAACCGGTGAAATCACAAGGCAAAAGTGTATCTTAAGATAGTTATGTTTTAACCCTTGTAGACCAGGTGTTGTAATGTGATTTTTTCTTGCCTGTGTGAATAGGAAAAGCATAAAATAACTATGTTAAGGAACCATGTTTTAGCCTAGCTACCAATCTGCAATAAAATAGTTCCCTAACATGATTTCTTTAAGCCACACAGGCAAGAATAAAACATAATATATTGAGGCCACCACCATTTCCCTCAGATATGTTTAAGCAGTTATTTTGGTCGCATAGATGGAGCATTAGTGGCTGATTTGTAGTGACAGGGAAAATTGAGCAGGCAATTAATCTGAAAAAGACAAAAAGTTCCTTTCAAATATGCTTTTGCCTGATGATTTCACATATGAAAAACTTGCATAAAACCCTCTCTATACATGAGGTAGGCCCATTGTTGATGCAACAAATCACAAGGATTATTGCAGAAATCAAAGTGGCAATCACCCTGTGGAAGCAGACTGCCATGCATAGATACCTGTTAGATGGGCGCTAGTTTGGGGTTAAGATGTTCACACTGGCTGGGTGCTGTTGTGTTGGGGTTGGGCATGACAATACATGATCTGTTGCACAGGTGTATTATCAGTGTGGCGAATGTGACAGAGATTGCTGAGGGTTTAATAAATCGAGGCGCCTGAACTGTGCAGGATTATTGATAGAATATATGTTCCCGTTTTATGTTCACATCACCTCCTCAGCAAGCCCAAGAGTACATGAACTAATAGAAAGGAGACCTATTCAATGATGATACAAGCCTTAGCTTATCATTATGGCAAACTCTTGGACATTTGTATGGCATGACCAGGAAAAGCACATGATTGTCTGAAGCATCAAGCAAAGATGAGATGTTCAATATACAGTGCAGTGAGGAGGCAGGAGGACATGTAACACCTTATGAACAATCTGGCTATTGCACTGGAGGCTGTTACTTATTTTAGCACAGCCTGCAATTGGCATGCTGCCCAAATTAGAGATGCTCTGAGCATACACAGTTTCCTACTGATGGTAGGGAATTGTGAATGAATCATGTATATCAATGAACTGTTACCATTTCTTTTTATTTGGAGTAGTTTCTTGCTATGTTGGTAATGATTGCTCATCTGTTAAATAATGTAGTAATTAAATTATCCCATTCATTTAATTTGTATGGTGAGGGATTTTATGGAGTCTGGAACTAAGGATGCATTGATGTGGCAATAATTATTATCAACTGCAGCTATAAAGCTCCTTTACATAGTCTAAAAATGGTGAACTTTATACATTTGCTGTTTGATTGCATTTATTTTTCTCATGGTTTATTAATTATTTGTATTAGCTATAGTAAGGGAATTTATGGAGGAGTGATTTGTTGTATTGATATGTAAAAGAAGTCTGACTGATGTAATGATTACACACAGACATTTTTTTCAGAGTCTGCTTTATTATACGAACACAAAGTGAAGACCAGCTACAACATCAAGTCAATGTAACGGATTTGCAAAAAACAAGGGTCATAAGTATTCCATTTCATAGAATCATAGAATCATAGAAGATTAGGGCTGGAAGAGACCTCAAGAGGTCATCTAGTCCAACCCCCTGCTCAAAGCAGGACCAACCCCAACTACATCATCCCAGCCAGGGCTTTGTCAAACTGGGCCTTAAAAACCTCTAAGGATGGAGATTCCACCACCTCCCTAGGTAACCCATTCCAGTGCTTCACCAACCTCCTAGTGAAATAGTTTTTCCTAATATCCAACCTAGACCTCCCCCACTGCAACTTGAGACCATTGCTTGTTCTGTCATCTGCCACCACTTTGAAGAGCCTGTCTCCATCCTATTTATCTTTTCCCCTTTTCATGCCCCGGCCCTTTAAATCACCCCCCGAGCTACCAGCTGCAGAGGCAGCTGGGAACCCCAGGGCTCGGGGGGGCGATTTAAAGGGCCCAGGGCTCCAGCTTCCGCTACCGCAGCGGAGCCCCGGGCCCTTTAAATCACTGAGGAGCCCTGGGGGCTCCCGGCTGCCACCGCTACCCCGGGGCTTTGGGCTCTGGCAGAGCTTTAAAGGGCCTGGGGCTCTGCTGTGGTAGCAGCTGCTGGAGCCCTTAGCCCTTTAAATCCCCACCTGAGCCCTGCTGCCCAAGCCCTGGGGTAACGGTGGCTGGGCTCCATCGGGGATTTAAAGGGCCCCGGGGCTCCAGCTGCTGCTACTGCCCTGGCCCTTTAAATGCCTGCCAGAGCCCCACTGCCGCTATCCCAGGGCTTTGGCAGCAGGGCTCCGGCGGGGATTTAAAGGGCTGGGGCAGTAGCAGTGGCTGGAGCTCTGCGGCTCTTTAAATCCCCCCAGAGCCCTCCCACCCCTACCCCAGGGTTCGGGCAGCTGGGATCAGGCGGGGATTTAAAGGGCTTGGGGCTCCAGCTGCCGCTACTGCCCTGGCCCTTTAAATCTGCTCCGGAGCCCCACCGCCGCTACCCCAGGGCTTGGGCAGCAGGGCTCAGGCCAGGATTTAAAGGGCCCTGGGGGGGGGGCGTAGCAGCGGCTGGAGCTCCGGGGCCCTTTAAATCCCCACCAGAGCCCTGCTGTCGCTACCCCAGGGCTTTAAATTGCCCTGTCGGAAAGCCGGTCCTGGTATGATGCACCGGCTCTTACTGGTACGCCGTACCAGGGCGTACCGGCTTACTTTCACCTCTGTCCTTGCCTCCAGAGCTGTGTGTGCCTCTGCAAAATATCTTGGAACAAATTCTGCCCTGATTTAAGCCTGTGCAATTCTAATGAAATCCATTCCATTTTCTTATGTGTAGATTGGAAATTATTTTAAAAGCACCATTTTGGTGGACCAGAGAAATCAGCCCTTAGCTCCAGCGAAGTATCTGTCCCATAGTGAATTTCTTTAAAAAAAATGACTTCATGAGAAGAGGTCATGTGATGTTTAAAATGTATTACAAAAACATCCAGACATTATTGAGGGGCACATATTACATATATGAAAAAATAATAAGCATTTTTAGTGTACTGGGATTGTTCCAAGACAGGTTCAAATTTATATCAGTAATTGTTAGGTGAAGTATTAAATACAAAAGCTGAAATCCTGCCTTTATTTACACCTTCTGTAACCCTGTTGAAGTTAATGGGTGGCATGGGATGTTCATTGGCAGGAGCTGACCCTGAATTCTGAAAGCTGATTTGTTAAGTTTAGGGCTGAATTATGTCATCAGTAATTACAAGCGAAATTTTGTCTATGGGTTTTATTATTGTACGTAATGCATCAGATAATTGACTTCGGTTTATTATGACTGGAACTGAGTCTGATGTACTTAGTCTGAACTGAAACAGTGCCTTGTTTGAAATTGCAAAAGTTGTGAATTAATTTTTTAAAAGCACAGACTGAGTGTATTTGTATTTTCTAAAAAGGCTGATTGTAAATCACTTTTTTATTAATAATTTTTTTTATTGTAACAATATATTTGGGGGTACTCCAAACAACAAGGACACAAAGGATTCTTTCACGAGACGGAAATAAGATTCCAACAGCCCCCTTTTTTTTAAATTTAACAAACATCCACTTTTTCCTTAACAGGTCTCTTTTTACATTTTAGCTTATTTCATGTTTGTAGCTATCACTTCTGTGACTGATACTCCTATAATTGTCATTGATTTAAGGGGTCTGGACCATATACTAAGTCCTATTGGTTTCTCTCCTTAGCTAAGAAGGGCTTTGTGTAGGAGGACATAGGGGCTTGGGTCAGGCCCTTCTCCAATTATTCATGTGGGAAAATGCATTGAGGTGTTTTAGTTAATATTTAGATTTATAAACAAACATTTTCTTTAACAGGTCTCTTGCACACATTTTTAAACATCACTTTCTCTTCTTTTACACCCCAC